GATGGGGGGGGGAGGTAGGGTGGCGGAATGCGGGGTAGGGCCAAGGTGGACACTCACGGCCGCGGGAAGGGGCCAGACCAGACAGCCATATGGGGTCGGCAGGAGGGACGGAGACGGCGGCCAAATGGAGGTCCCCTCGGCTTCCAATTCCACCTCATCCACATCCGCAAGACTCTCCCCCCTCTCCTCCCAGTGGTTCTTACTAACCCCCCGCTCCTCCCCGCTCTACTGTGCTCCTCCCCTCCTTCCCTTCCGCGTCTTCCACCTCCTCCTTACCTTCCTCCTCATCCCCCTCCTCCGTCCCTCAGGCGACCAGACGGGTCACATCCGCGTGTGGGACCTCACCGCCTCCGCCTGCTCCTGCGAGCTAGTCCCGGAAATAGGCACCGCGGTGCGCTCCCTCACTGTGGCGCTGGACGGCACCATGATAGTGGCCGCCAACAACAACGGAACGTGCTACGTGTGGAGGATGATGAGGGGTGGGTGGGGATAAAGGGGGAGGAGGAGTGAGGAGGGGGCCCTCGGAAGAAGGGGTGGTGAAGAGGCGTGAGAGGCGCATTGGAAGGACAGTTGAAGTTTGGGATTTATTATTTCGCACTGTGCGCGTCCGTCGTAATTTCGTGTTCTTTGTGTGCTGTTTTTTACAAGACGTTACATCCCTAAACCGCGCAACCTGCTTTGAAACACGGATGTTGAATATATATGTATATATTTTTTTTTCCGACCTTCCGCTCCCCGGCTCCCGCCCCGCTTTGTTGTGCTGGCTGTGCGGTGCTGTGCTGCACTTCAGGCGCCTCCCTGACCACCCACTTCGAGCCGCTGCACAAGCTGAAGGCGCACAGCAACATCATTTTGAAGTGCCTCATATCGCCCGACTGCCAACAGCTAGCAACCACCTCCGCTGACAAGACAGGTGGGGGGCTGGAGTCGGTGAAGGGGGGTTGGCTGTATCTGCCGCCGCTGTGTTTTTGTTGTTGATGACGAGGGTGTTACACTGTGGGCGGCTCGCCCTGAGAAAGGACAAGCACCCGGGGCCCTGACCGGGCCGAAACACACCAGCGCAGGGCCGGAGGGCCGCGGATCCACGTCCGTCCATTTCTCCGCGCGCGCGCGCCTCGCTCCCTCGCTCACGCCAGCCGGGACGCTCTCCCAGCCCCTGGCTAGGCGACGCAGCGGCGCAGAAGACTGCAAACCGTACTAAGCGAGAGCCGCGCGAGAGGCGCCGCATCACCTCCGGGATCCCGAACAAAGCTACCTCTCACCACTACGCCTGGACCAGCATGTTGTTGCTATGTTGTTTTGTCAACGATTCCATGCATCGCTCATTCCGGTCATATCTTGCCTCCTCCTCTCCTCAAAAGCACCATCTCCCATCCCCCGTCGATGCCCGCCCGGGACGTATCGGCACTTGACCCCTAAGCTTACTTTCTTACAACACCATACTCCTTCCCCCCGTTTTCCCCCTCCCCCCTTTCCCGGTCCTCCCTCCCCCGTCCTCCCCCAATCCCCGTCCTCCCCCAACCCCGCCCTCCTCCCCCCTCCCGGATTATCAGTCAAGTTGTGGAACCTTGACGGGTTCACTCTGGACCGCACCCTGGTGGGTCACACGCGGTGGGTGTGGGACTGCGTGTTCTCCGTGGACGCCGCCTACTTGGTGACGGCAGCCTCCGACATGACGGCCCGGTTGTGGGACCTGTCGTCGGGGGAGGCCATCCGGACGTACTCGGGACACCACAAGGCGGTGGTGTGCTGCGCGCTGAACGACTCGGCCATTGAGGGAAGGGATGCGGACGGGTGAAGTGAAGGAAGCGGAGGCTCAGGAGAGGCTGGGGGAGAGGGGGCAGCGGGTTGGCCGGCTGCGGGTGCGCGTTTTGTGGGGGTGCAGAGATGTGGAGGGAGTGATATGCGTTGTTTCGCGCGGTTGGGCCCCGGGTTCAAGCAATCCACATGGACCCAGCAAGAGCTGCCTGAACCGCTGAACACTGAATGAAAGTCGTGTCGTATGTAGCAATTGGCCTGGATTGTAACGTACTGCCCTGGGTGGGTGCCTGTGTCCCGCATCGCCTCGCATGCGCGATGGAGTAGTGGCGTCCCGGCACAGTACCATTTATTAAATATGTTTAAGCTCTGCGGCCCGAGGCTGTGGTTTCGCTGGCTGGTTCCTCCGTGGTGATCCCGCTCGGTTGCCGTTACGCCGCCTGAGCCGTTGGATAAAGCGCCTTGTAGCCATTTTATGGTCTATTAGTAGGTATGGTCTGTAGATGTGTTCGGTTTCTTCAGTGAGGCAGCAGGAGCAGTACTAGGAGCAGGAGCACCGGTACCGGAAAAGGCGGCCTTGCCTTGGACAACTCAGTACACGGCAGGTACACCGGGAATGACGCCGCAAAAAGCGGCTTTGGCCTTTCCCGCCCTGTATGTCTGTATGCATGTGTCTGTGTGCTTAAGTGTGTGTGTGCTTAAGTCCATGTCATTTGGGAAATGGACGCGACACACGAGGTGGGATATATGACGCCTGCAACTTAAGTTTGGGAGCAGCTTCTTTCACAATTCGGCAAACATGTACGACATCATGACACAGTACCGTGTGTTGTGTCCGGTCGCTGGGCATCGGGCCGGCAGGTTTGGGAGCGGCCGTTGCCGTGACCTCCTTGACCTACGGTTGTGCAGAGGTCCCTTCTACCGCCTACTGATTTTCATGATCTTCCCGCTCCCGGACCTGCCGTTGCCTTAGCATATGGTTGTGTATTTGTCACATCTTCCTGGTAAATTCCTTTGCTCCGTGTGGACGCACAATGGCGGTAAAGTAGGTAATCCAGGTGTGGCTGAAAGGGGGGCTGAAGAGCGCGCAGCTCCGCTCCTTGTTACATGTCCTTATTACAGAGATGGCGTCATAACACTCCAAGAAGGCACAGGTGCCCCTAGCCCCGATGCACGCAACATGCAGCAACTCATCAATCACATGCAGTTTGGTGTCAACAGCACATATCATTTTTGCAGCAGCCGGACACTGAAGCAGCAGCTGTGAGGCTGCGGCTTACGTATACATTACGCGTACACATCCATTCATGCAGAAACCGGAGCGAGGAGAAGAAAGAATCCTCTCGGCTCACCTGGTGGACACCGGTGACCCGTGGGCCGTGTCCATCCTCCACCGGCCAACCCGCCTTCTGTCGTCGCGTCCTTCTTTTCCTTGGTTAAAATATTCAGGCCTAGGCGCAGCGTCTACCAACAGCTCTGTGCAAGATCTGCCATGCCCCACGCGACCCAGGAGATGTTCCAGCAAATTGAAAGCGCATGCAGAACCAAAAACGTAAGAAGGGAGCCTTAAACTCTGGCTGCAAAATAACTTCCTTTTCAATGCATGGGAGGAGCCCCCATCTTATGCTTCACGCATGGGAAGGGGCCCAAGCTATGTTTCACGTTCAGCTCTAGCCCGCCCCGTAGGGAAACTGCAGGTGCTGTTGCTGCGGCGGTGGGGGCTGCAGCTGCTGCCGCTGCGCAAGCCCAGAACCCCCGATAGCAGTCTGATGCCCCAGATATTGCTGCTGCGGCTGCTGCGCCCATTGCTGCTGCTGTTGCGGGTGCTGTTGGTATTGTTGCTGCTGCTGATGGTATTGTTGTTGCTGTTGTTGCAGCTGCGACTGTGACGGGTAGGATGCTGGCTGATGCGCGGCCTGTTGGTATTGTTGGTATTGCTGCTGCGGCTGCTGCGGCTGCTGCTGTGACGGCATCGGTGGCTGTTGGTTGTACGACTGGTTGTACGGTGAGTTGAGTCGTTGCTGTTGGTTCAGTTGCTGTTGCTGTTGTGGCAGCGGCGGGTTGAGACCCTGCTGGTTATAGAGCGTCTGCTTGTATGGCTGCTGCTGCTGCTGTTGTTGTTGTTGTTGTTGTTGCTGTTGCGTACTGCAGTACTGCTGTGGGTTAAACTGTTGGTTTTGGTGTGGCGCTTGACTGGGATGCGGTAGCGGAGGGGGCTGCTGTTGCTGCTGCACGATGGCACCGGCCGGAGAGCCGAACTGCTGCGGTTGGCCAAACTGTTCTTGCTTCAGAGGTTGCTGCTGCTGCGGCTGTTGTTGCTGCGGCTTCTGCTGCTGCTGCACAAATTGCTGTTGCGGCTGCACAAATTGCTGCTGCGGCTGTTGCTGCTGCTGCACAAATTGCTGCTGCGGCTGTTGCTGCTGCTGCACAAATTGCTGCTGCGGCTGTTGCTGCTGCTGCACAAATTGCTGCTGCGGCTGTTGCTGTTGCTGCTGCTGCAAAAATTGCTGCTGCGGCTGTTGCTGCTGCTGCTGCACAAATTGCTGCTGTTGCTGCTGCTGCTGTTGCTGTTGCTGCTGTTGCTGTTGCTGTTGCTGTTGCTGCTGTTGCTGCTGCTGCTGTTGCTGCTGCTGCTGCACAAACTGTTGCTGCTGCTGCGGTTGTTGTTGCTGCTGCTGCTGCGGCAGCGGTTGTTGCTGCTGCACATACTGCTGCTGGGGCTGTTGCTTTAGTGGTTGTTGAGCCCAATGTTGCTGTTGTTGTGGTTGCTGCTGCTGCTGTGGCGGCGGCGGCGGATTCCCAGTCAGAGGTGTAAACTGCACTGGGTGCTGGGACCCATGGCCCCGCGACCCCGCGAAGTCTTGAGACCGGGATTCCGTCTTCGCTCCCACCATCCCCTGCTGCTGCATCTGCGGCTCCTGTTTGTGGCCTGGCTGCTGCATCTGCGGCTGGTACTGTTGCTGGGGTTGAAGTTGTTGTTGTTGCTGCTGGAACTGCTGCTGCTGCTGCTGCAAAGGCGTGTGTTGCTGATGGTGCGAATGGTGGGAATGAGAGTGATGGTGGTGGTGATGGTGCCCATGGTGGTGATGTCCAGTCGCCTGTTGCTGCTGCTGCTGCTGGGGCGGCGGCAGCTGCTGCTGCTGTTGCGGCAGCGGCGATGTAGTCGTCTGCCCTACTGCTGGCTCGTTTTTAACCTGCCGCGGCTGCATCAACGATTGCTGCTGCTGCTGCATCGATGCCATTGAAGGCCCCTGGCCTGGAGGACCCTCCCGCGCCTCGACCTCCTTCATGACAGGCGACTGCTGCTGTCCTCCGCTCCGTGCATCCTGCATAGCACACCAGTCCGCCAACCAGCAATTTGGAACTCCCTTCTTCAGGACGCGTACAGCAACCCGGGGGAAGCGCCGCCCCCAGAGCCCCGGCAGTCACCTAATAGCCCTGGTCGGCCCCCAGTATCCCGTGCGGGTGCAGTGCAACTGTCCGACGCGAGCGAGGCCCACAGCCCCGCACTCACCTCCGGTTGCGGCCGAGGGGGGTGCTGCCGCACCTCGTCCTCACGTTTGCGACGCTCCGCCTTGGCCTCCCTTCGGGCCTGGGGGCATCCGGGGAATAGGATTCGCACGCGGGGTAAATAAGAAAAGAAGAACAACGGCCTCATTGCATAAATTTTAGGCAAGAGCTCAAATCGCATAAATGGGCCCGCACAAATAATGGTCGAGGTCGGGGTCGGGGTCGTGGGGTGAAAAAGGGAAAAGGGGATCAAAAATAAGAATGCCGGCGGGGATATCACCCCAGCTCACATATACAACCAACCACTTAACCAGCAACCAACTCACTCGACGCTCAGCTTCCAAGTCGGTGGCAGGGTCGTACGCCTCGATGCGCGGGAAGGGGCTGCGGACTGCATCCCGAGGGATAACCCCCGACCCCGACCCAGTGCCACTGGCACAGCCAGCAACGGCAGCTGCACCACCACTGCCGTTCTGGCCACTACTTCCAAGCAGCGGCTCCTGCTGTCCTTGTGGCTCGTGCTGCTGCAGCTGCGGCTGGTCTGGCGGCATCTGGCCTGGCGGCAGGGGCTCCCAGCTGGTTGACGTGGTGTGCCAGATGCCGGGTGTGGGTGGCAGCAAGCTGACCTCCTCGGGGTGCTTTCGGAGGTCCTGAGGGAGGGTGAGATATGGGGGGTGGGGGGTGGGGGGTGGGGAGGTAGGGGGGAAATGCATAGGGAGGGCGGAGGTGTGGAGATGAGGTGTGGAGATGGATTGGGGAAATAGCCTCAGACATGACTATGTCTGAGGTCTCTGTCTTGATGACCAGGCGACTTGGCGAAAGGAGGTGCACTTACGGGTCTGTCGGATGCCTGCTGTATCCGCTTCCCGGGCCCTTCCCCGCCTACCTACACACTCACCTCCACCACCTCGTGCACCAGGTCATGCAAGTGCGAGCTAATGGCTTGAGCCCAGGCCAGATCCAGATGCAGGTGCACACAAACCTGCCGGGAAGCGAAGCGATGAAACCCACCCAGGGGTCCCGGGGGTTTGAGCGGGGGATTTTAGGGGGAGAAAGACGAACCACGAACGAGTGAAGCTGCTGCCAAGGCAAGAGTGAGGGGGAGGGAAAGAGGAACCACGAACGAGTGAAGCTGCTGCCAGGGCAAGAGTGAGGGGGAGGGAAAGAGGAACCACGAACGAGTGAAGCTGCTGCCAGGGCAAGAGTGAGGGGGGGGGGGAGGAGGGGGACGTGAGGGTCGGCAGGGTTGGCCATTCCTGTATTCCGCGGTATGCCCTGCTTATCTTCCCCTCACGGTTATGGAAATGGTTCCTGCTCAGGAGGTAATGGCCGACTTGTGGCCACACCTTCATCAGTGACCTGAACCGCAATGTTGTCGCTGGCGCTTACCGTGCCACTCTGGCTGCCACCAAGGTTATTGGTGTTGCGGGGGGTACACGGATGAGGATGTTACCATGGTGATGCACGATGCATTCCATGTGTTCGCCAACCTAGAGAAGGTGGTGCACACGATCATGGCGCTCCAGCAGCCTGATGTTACCACTGCAGCCCCAACACCCTGGAAGGGGTATTGGTAATCCATGACGCGCGTGTATAGCTCATCTGAGCGCTGGAGCGCCATGATCGTGTGCACTACCTTCTTTAGGTTGGCGAACACATGGAATGCATCGTGCATCACCATGGTAACATCCTCATCCGTGTACCCCCCGCAACACCAATAACCTTGGTGGCAGCCAGAGTGGCACGGTGAGCGCCAGCGACAACATTGCGGTTCAGGTCGCTGATGAAGGTGTGGCCACAAGTCGGCCATTACCTCCTGAGCGGGAACCATTTCCATAAGTGTGCGGGAAAGATAAGCAGGGCATACCGCGGAATACAGGAATGGCCAACCCTGCCGACGTGCAAAGCGTCAACTACGGACCTCCAGGAACCCTCCCCCCAGCGCGCGTGTATGTGTGTGTGTGGAGGGTGTGGATGGGTTTCGGAGGGAGAGGGGAGCTACAGGATAGCAACGAATGCCAACCACGCCGACCCGTACAGGAGCGTGTTTGTGTGTGTGTGTCTGTATTTGTGTGTGTAAGGGGGGAAATCATATGCAAGGAAAGGGGAGGTGAACTGCCGGTGTCCTAGGTCCGAAACTGCTCAGAGAGTTCTAACTGTGTAGGTGTGTGGGGGTGTTAAGACGAGGACGGAATGAAAGGCCACCAAGCCCAGACGCCCTCCAACCAGGAAACCCGCTCCCTCCCGCTACCCTCTTGTTGGTCCGTCACCCCTCGAGAGGCATCGCACCTCGCAGGCGTACTGCAACGTGCTGGCCGCCGGGTCGTTCACGTCCCACTCCAGCTCATCCCGAAACACCGTGTCACCACGCCGTACATACAGCTGGTTAAGGGAGGGAGCGCCGCACGTCGTATACACACACGCACACGAACGCCAGCACGTGGAGGAATGGGGGAGGAAGGTGGGTTACAATTCAAAAAGTGATGTCTGCCTGTCTTTCTGTCTGTACAAGTTACAAGTCTGTATGTAAGTCAGTCTATATGTATGTACGAATGTATGCCACAGCTGACAGACGGCTATCCACTTGGCCTTGGTACAATACCACCTCAGGAAAACACACGCGTGTTGGGGACCCCGGGGTCGACCTTCAACCGCAGCCACTTGCCGCATCCTCCTTCCCACGGCTCTCAGCCATTCAAGCAACACACACACGCGCATGATAATACACACGGCCGCACATAAAACCAAGGGCGGGACCGTGGCCTGTATTTCCTTCCCTCGGATAAGGTTGGGCCCACAACATAACGCACGCATACATACATACATGCGTGTATGCCGGCACACATATGGACGTGTGCGACCTCCCATTTGCCCTCCTGCCTGCCTTACCTGCAACCTAACTAGCCTCGGCCCCCCTAGGTCCTTGAAGCTCTTGAAGCCCTTGAGGCAGCGCCCCATGTCGTCCTCCACGACCCTGCGGGATGGGGCGCGGGGGCCCGTGTTTGGGGTCCCAGGTTCATACGCCCCCGGTGTGCTACGAATGCACTTAAGAGGCCTCAGAGGTCCTGGTGCACACATATATACATACATACATATACACCGTCTCCTGTCCCTCTTCTGCCCCTTATAACCCGCCTCTCCCCCTCGCCTTTGCATTCCATTATATTCCCCTTCCCCCCTTTTCCCCCGTCCCCCCTCCC